GCCCGCCTCCCCTCAGGGCCCCAGCCCCGAGCGGGCCCGCCCCGCTCCAGCCCCGCGCGTGCGCGGAGCGGCCCCGCGGCCGCCGCCGCTCGGGGTGACTTTGAGGCGGCGCCGTCGCCATGCTGAGCCAGCTGCTGGGGCCGCGCTACGCGCAACTGCTGCGGACCTGGTGAGGGGCTGCCGGCTGCCCGCGCCGCGCTGGGGCCGGCCCGCTTCCACCGGGGCTCTGTGCGCTGCGAGCCGGGCTCTGCTGGCCCCGCCGGGTCTGTCCGCCCGGCCCGAGGCTCCGCGCTGCCCTCACCGCGTCCTCCGGGCACGGGCGCGCACCGCGGGGCTCTGAGGGGCGTCCCCACGCCCTGCTGAGGCCCTGCTCGAGGCCTCCCCGTGCCCCCCGCGCCCTGTGAGGGTCGCTGGGGACGGTGCCGGGTGCGGAGCAGGGCTCGGGCCGGGCTGAGGGGCCGAGGGCCGGGGAAAGGGCTTGAGGCCCACCCGGCGCTGGCTGTTTCACGGACGTAGATACAGCAGTGCCCTGGGTGCCCTTTGCAGGGCTGAGGGAGGCGGAACGGCGGGGCAGAACCGGGTGATGTGGCTGAGACACGGAGCTGGGGAAGGTCTGAGGAGCGGCTGAGGGCACTTGGCTCGTTCAGCTGGAGCACAGGAGATGAGGGGAGGCTCCTCGGGGCTGCAGCTCCTCCCGAGGGGAGGCAGAGGGGCAGGGGCTGAGCTCTGCTCTGGGACAGCTCCTGGAGCCCAGCGAGGGCTGGAGCTGTGCCAGGCCTTGGCATGGAGCTCAGGGAAAGGTTCTTCCCCCCGAGGGTGCTGGCACTGCCCAGGCTCCCCAGGGAATGGTCCCGGCCCCGAGGCTGCCAGAGCTGCAGGAGCGTTTGGACAGCGCTCTCAGGGCTGGGCAGGGTGGGGCTGTTGGGGGGTCTGGGCAGGGACAGGGCTGGGCTGATGATCCCTGGGGGTCCCTTCCAGCTCAGGATATTCTGGAATTTTAAGCTCTTTTCCTGATTGAAGTGACTTTCTCAGGTACCTCAGCCATGAGCAACTGCCAGGCCTTTCACAGTGGTAAATTGTTTTTTAATTACTACTTTCACAGTGGTAATTTGTTGTTTACCTGGATGTGTGTCTCTCCTTTAGGACCCCCACCCTGGCAACATGGGGTGGTGTGGCTGGTGTTGGCGTGATCTGGGCCACAGACTGGAAGCTGATCTTGCAGTATGTTCCCTACATCAGCGGCAAGTTCAAAACTGAAGACTGAGCTTCCCTCTAATGGTGAGTTTTGTTTGTACATCTCTTGGCTTAATCAATAGAATTATAAAATCACAGAATCCCAGTTGGGTTTGGGTTGGAAGGACAGGGCATGGACACCTTCCACTATCCCAGGCTGCTCTGAGCCCTGTCCAGGACAGCCTAGCCTGGAACACTTGAACACAATAACTGTGTGCTGGTGTGACAGTGGATTTTTGACAGTTTCCTCTTTGCCTGGGGCACAATTTTTTATTTTTTTTTTTTAATGGAGCTTCACAGAGCACCAGAAGGATGAAATATTCATTAGGGTATGTTTTTCAAGTGATTATTTTGGATGCAGTGGGTTTTTCACAACATACTGCAGTTCTTAAGAGGTCAAATCAAGCTAATTTTTTTTACTTCTGATGTATCTGTTTACTTCTGTTCCTGAGCAGAAGAGCTGCAAGCTCAGGACTGGTTTTGTGACAAGGCAAATTCAGACTCCTTTCTGCTCCTTGTAACTGGTATTAAAAGTAAATTGAATTTTCAGAGCTGGTTATTGTATTCCACAAATTCCTTGAAATATTTGTTTTCTCAAGGTTTTGGTTCTTTTCCTTCTTTAAATACATATCAGAAGTGCTGTTCTGAATGATCTGAAAGTCTGACCATTCCTAAAGCTGGAGCAGCAATTAGACAATCCTTCTGTAGGGGCTCTAACTGCATAGTCTTTCTAGTAGGCAGGCTTTGGATTTCTTTACTCCTTGCTGCAGATAGAAGGGAGTCAGGAAGATTTTTCCATTCATTATAGGATGCTAATGGAGAAACTCTGGGACCAGAGGAAGGTCTGTCCACCTCAGTGGTTGTTTCTTCTGGTTAGAATAACAGTTACTTTTAAATGTTGATTAATGAAAGTGAGCCATTTGTGTTCCAGCTACACAGTATTTTGTAGGGAAGTCAGTCCATTTGGAAAGCACAGACAGTACTTCTTATTCCTTTTTCAGCAATAGTTGTTGCAGCTTAAACAATTTACTGTTTGCAAACTTTGTATTGCACAGTTCCTTCTGTAACCAAGAGAGGAATGAAACTTGTCTTGGAAGTCAGCTGAACTGGAGGCATTTTGGGTCATTGTGATGTTTACAGTCAAGTCATAAAATCACCCAATGGTTTGGGTGGGAAGGGTCCTCAAAGCCCATTCAGTCCCAGCCCTGCCATGGGCAGGGACACCTTCCACTATCTCAGGCTGCTCCAAGCCCCATCCAGCCTGGATGGAGAAGTTTTCAAGTGGAAAAGCTCTCAAGTTATGCAATTCAATTACCTTCTAAGGGTTTTCCTTCCTTAAAAATAGTCAGTAGCAGGCACAGAGCTCTATTCCTGAGCCAGCAGCCTGTGTTTCCCATTTTGAAGTAAGAATTTAGTGAGTGTGGAAAGAGGAACAGAGAAGAGGGATGTGTCTGTGGTGGCCTGTGCTCCCTTCCAAGGGGACTCCAGGCCTGCCCACCCACACCTGGATCAGCTCCTGTACCAGAAACTTCCTGCCTGGATCCTGGAGGCTTTTGAAATCTCTCATGTTGGCTGCTGTGGCACTGTGCAGGAAGCTCTGCTTAACAACTGCTCTGTGTTTGTTGTAGGATTTTATTGCTGAAGAGTGTCTGGAGCCATCCGTCCAGGAGACCCTGCTGGGGTGACCCTGTAATGCCCAGTACAGATTCTGCAACAAGCTGTGGTCTGTCTGTCTGTCTGTCTCTCCCATGAACAGCTGTGAGCAAATTCACCCTCACTGACCACTTCCTCTGAACACTTTCCCAACACCTCTTGCCTTGATGGGAATGGTTTATAAACCTGGTGTACAAAATAAACCAAGTGAATGATTTCTGGGGGGCTTGGGGTCTTGGGATTTTGTGTGTGTGTGTGTGTGTGTGTGTGTATGTATGTGTGCCTTACCTTCTTAGCCATATTCTTAAGACCAGACTCCTAGCTTGGTTTGGGGTTATAGAATGATGGAATCACAGACTGGTTTGGGTTGGGACACCTGGCACTATCCCAGGTTGCACTGTGTTACGTCTTCAGCTTCTTGGACTGTGTGTCCTAAGGCAGGTCTGACACATATTTGCCTCTTCTCATGTGCAGGTTCCTTGGGAATCAACCACTGGCTGCTAGGATACTGGGCTTGATTATTTATTTTTATCAATTACAGCTCTTGAGCTACTCTTAGGGATGTGTTGATTTTAGGCTCCTGGATCACTGTGGCCTCATGGACACAGTTAATTTTTCACAGCCAATATTGTGGAGTTTCATGGTAACAGATTGCTGAAATTTACTTTAAAGAAAGGATTTTGGGTTTTTACCATCAATTCATGGACCCCTTAAATGGTCTATTTTTTAATCTTTTCTGGCTTAATCTAGGGGCTTGAGGAAGGCAGGCCCCAAATCCTAGGTGTCTTTCTTTGTACCAGGATGAAAACCAGGGGTTCAGAGAGCTGCTCAGTTCTTAATTTGGGGTTTAAGTAGAAGAATAATCTATATTCTCAATTCATAGATCTATTTATTTGTGAACTTAAACTGGTGATGAAACAACCCCCAGACACAAGCCTTTAGGTGAGAGTTCTTAGCTGTTAGAAAACACCTGCCACAACCCTTTAGGTGAGAGTCTTTTGCTGTTATAAAAAGGAAGAATGAGGATTATTTTGCTCTGGTCTCTGTCACTTGGCCACAGATGACTCAGACTCAGGGGGGAAAAGTTTATCCCTTTTTACAAAGACCACAATTTACAAACAAACTTCCTCTGTTTGAGAACAGGATCACTGTTTTCTCTCTGCTTAGTGCCTAGCTTCATCTTACTAGAATGTTTGGCTGTAATGCAAGGTTTGAATCTCTTTAGGGGAAAATCCCAGTTGTAGCTGTGTTGCGCTTGTGTCAGTGTCAGGGCTGTGTCACACTCAGGGATGTTTTTTGAAAAACTGTTGGAAAACCTGCCCAAACAGTGGCACTATGCAGGATTACTCAAATAACAGTAAAATTTCTTAGTGTTGCTTCAGCATCATCATTGTTCATCAACTGGGGGCAAAGAATATAATTTTCACATGCAAAAAGTGCCTTTGATGCTCTGCTATGCCCACTAAGATGCAATCACATAATCCTGGAATATCCTGAGTGAGAAGGGACTCGGGGGTCGTCAGTCCAGCCCTGTCCCTGCACAGACACCCCAACAACCCCACCCTGAGAATCCCTGAGAGCGCTGTCCAAACGCTCCTGGAGCTCTGGAGCCTTGGGGCATCTTCCCTGGGATATGGAATAATGGGATGGCGGGGCTGATTGCTCAGGCCGTCCCATCCCTGCTCCAGCAGTGCTCCTGACTGACCTGCAGGAGGCCAGAGCCTCACCTTAACCTCAGGATACTGAGAGTGCAGGTTTGACAGCAGCAGCCCTCTGCCATACGTAGGGGTGTGGTACTGATCCATTTCCAGCCAGATTATGCCTGGAAAGTGGATATTCTTGGGAAGCAGCAGGACTGTAACCTCAGGTCTGGACAGCTCGGTCCCTACTCTTATTTTACCTGTGTGACACACCTGGGCAGGATGGGTGTAACCTGCTGCTTCAGAAATTCCCTGGTTTTGCCTTTTGCCTGGTGTTCCCGTGGGTGAGTGACCTGTTCCCATGGCTTGGAGATCTTTGGGAAGCCTGAAGCTGGGGGTCTGTGGTGTCCACCCCTCTGAGAACCCTGATGTCCCCAAGCTGCTAGTCAGTGGTGACAATCACCTTTACAAAGCCCCAGTGGTAGAGGTGTGCCCAGCGGGTGAGATGAGATACTGAAAGGAGAAATACATATTTAAAATCTGCTGTGTGTACAGGCAGCACAGCAACGAGTGTACAGACCTTGGATTTGCTTGGGGATTGTTCAGCTTGTTTTTTGTGCAGCATTTTCAGTGATATATTTATTGCTAATTAACCATAGGATTAGTGTATAACTGATTTAATTGCTATATTTCTTTTGCTGCAAGAGCAAGAAACACACTCTTGAAAATACCTTCTGCATTTTTGGGCAAGTCTGTGTTAGATAATTACTGTTCAAGTAGCGTGGGTAATCTTTCTTATTTTTAATATCCTAGCTTTGCCTCTCTTTTAACAGTTAATTGTTTTCATAATGAATGCCACGTATGTTAGAGGAACAAATTAAAAAACAATGACCTGACAGATGGGGAAAAAGCTTCCCCTTCCAAACCTGGAGAGGGCACAGAGATGGCTTTGGATTTACAGCTCTGGGTTGATGATGTGACTTTGAAACAGCCCCTGAGAAAAGGGGGGCTTTGCATTCTTGCCTGCCTCATCCAAGTGTTTGTCCTTGCGGTGGTGCCCCCACTTCATCTGTGGAATGTACCAGTGGACATGGGACAGGGTTTTGTCACTGCAGCCACCTCGGTGCTGTGAGCCTGCACAGCCCCTGCTGGTCTCCTCCTGGAGGAGCTTCTGCTGGGGCTCCTGGGTTGGGAATTCTGTGGCAAATCCTGCTCTGGAATAAGCTCCTCAGCTGGCTCTGGGAATGCAGAGTAGGAAGCTCCAAACCTGCAGAGTGAAATCAAAGAGTTTTTCTGTCAGGATATCCTGCTGCTTCCTTCCACGTCTGACAACACTGATTTTGGTGATTTTTTGGATTACCTGCTCATCCTGGGGCAACACAGAGTCTCTAGCAGCTGAATCCACTTTCAGCTGGTGGTTCTACCTGCAAATACCACACCTTGGCAGTGTTCCCAGAGGAACACTGGAATATTTTCCCTTCAGCTCAAGAGTTCATTTCTACCCAAACATTTCACGCAATCCTAGGAGAGAGTAAATGTTTCCCTTCCACAAACCGGTGCCAGCTGCCAGTGAAAACTGATTTTCTACCTCCTGACACCCTCAGCTCAAGGTTCAGAGGACATTCAGGGATCCTCCCACAGACTTGCTGTGACACTCTTCCACATCCAAAAACACAGCTCCACTTGCTCCCAGCTCTGCCAGTTCATTCTTAAAAAATACCCCTGAAAGTTTCACTGTGCTTGTTTCCCTTTTGCACTTCAGAGCTCCACATCAGTACAAGTTTTTGGTTACAACAGTATAAGATGAGCTAGATTTGAGGTTTGGGGTGTTTCTATTTTAAAAAAAA